ACATGCCTGGCATGATTTTCAAGCCAGTGGGTCCCAAATTTAAATCATGGCCACAGTCATGTGGGAGTCTAGTCCCTTAACCATCATGCCACCTGCTGGCCCTAAAAGTTCACTTTTGATAACTGAATTCTCCCCAAAATACCTGTTGCACTTAGATTCTAGTGATGGTTCATTAAAATAAACAGGTCTTTGCAAGTATCTCCTTTCCGGGCAAGATGACTGCAATCCAATTCAGAGTGCACAGTCTACTTATACTGGGAAGAGTAGACATATAACAAAATGATGAGATTAGCATCTTATCTCAAATCCAATCTCAAATTTACTTACAAGAATGAGTCCATGACGCCCACAGATGGCGTAGTAGTTATATCACTGGAGTCCCACATGGCCCACCATGGTCTGAGTCATGAATCCAGTGACTTGTAAATCACATCGGGCACATGTGTATGCATGCCCAAGATCCCAGGAGGAGAACGGAGAAGGGATTGAGGCATGGTTATCTCCCCTGTGAAAAGGGATTATGGCATGGCCATAGGACCTGGGGGTGATTTTTCACTTTCCTTCTTACCATCTCTGTCTCTCTCCAGCAAGCACACATGCTCTAAGGCAAAAATAAATAAATACATAAATAAAATAAAATTAAAATAAAGGAAAAAGAAAAGAAAAGAAAAAAGAAAAAAACCTCTATAAAAAATAAGAATGAGTTGTCTAAGGAAAGCTCAGTACATGTCTGAATGCCAAAGTGGATGCACAGGATTAAGTCTCCGAGGAGAATGAAGTGTCTTCAAGGAGAGCCATTATGACTGGCCAGGCAGCAGAGGCAGTGAAGGATTCTAGGAACATGAAAGAAAACTCCCTTAGTATTAAGTACACCCAGTTGAACTTCTTTATGATAACCTCATGGTTCACTAGCAGGTTCCCTTGTTTCTGTGGTTATGATGAAAACAGAAAACTTCCATGCTGTGCGTGTCTAGTCCACCAAAACAAGCATGTTGGGGAAAAGCCAGATTTTTTTTCCCAGAACAAGCTGTTCTTATGACCCTAGTCATTCAGACTCTTTATTAGAAGTATCTGGCCCAAGGCCATTTAAGAGCTCAAAAGGGAAGAATGTATTCTTGTCACTGTTAAAGTAATACAAAGGAGATCCTGTTGAGAACATAACTTGTGTACTCACCAGCAACCTTGAGAACTTTTGTTTTATGGCGTTAGATGCTGCTGAATCTACGAAGTAAGAAAAAATGTCCAGAAATGGCACATTTACTGGAACACTAGAGACCTCTTAGAACTAGCTATTTACCTCTGCTCCTAAGAACTCTGAAAAAGCCTGTCAACTTTTCCAGTATTCTTGCTCCTTCCACCACAAAGACTCCCCAAAGCTATTCTACCTTTTCAAATGTGTAACTAAACATATAGATGTCCATCTCCTTCTCAAATTCAAGAGCAACTACTGAGGAGTCTTAAAATGTATCAGTTTTTGCTCTATTGTGAAATAGAAAAAAAATATGTGTAGCATAGGGCTCTAGGGCCAGAAAAAGAACACAGCAGACATGAACCAGAGACAAAACTATAGTCTGTACTAATGCACTTAAAACAGGCATCTTACATCATTTTGTCTCTGGGCTAACTCAGAAAGTAAGAGGTTGGTGAACTGAGATCTTCATCAGCGCAATGAAAGCAGAAGAGGGCCAATCCTATAACTCAGTGGCTAGGCACTGTGAACAGGAGTCACTTCTCATTTGGTTGACCACTGTTTGAATCCCAGCCATGTCAACTTGCAAATCAGTTGTGTACGTGCACACATGCCTTGAGAGAATGAAGAAATAGAAGAGAAAGAATTGCAGTGTGAGCAGACCCCACTGGGGAATGCTTTCTCTCGTTCTTTCCCTCTCTGGTGTACTCATGTACTCTTTGTCAATAAAAAAAATACATCTCTCATTTTAAGAAAATAAAATAGAAGAAAGGAGATGGAATATTCTACTCAACAATATATTGACTAAGTACTATGTGGCTCTCAATCAATATTATATGATATTATACTTAAAAACTAGGGACCAGCAAATGGCATAATGATTACATCACTGAACTCCCACATAGTCGACTGTGGTTCGAGTCCCAGACCCAGCAGCTAAAGTTCATGCAGGCACGTGTGTGTGCATATTCCAGATCCCAAGAGGAGAATGGAGGAGAAAGGATTGCAGTATGGCCATCGTCCCTGGGAGGTGATTTTTCACTTTCTGTGTCTCTCTGTCCAGGGAGCACACGTGCCTCTCCAAAACCAAAAACAAAACAAAAAACCTAAATGCTCTCTCCTAATCTCAGACCTCTTAAACTACAACTTCTATGGAAGGAAAATTCAGCATTTCGGTCAAGCTCTTTGATGCCTATGTAGATAATCTGGTGCCTGAGTATTACAACAGAACTGTCCACAGAACCAATTATCTTCAGCTAGGGTAGTTGACTATGTTAGGAATACTGCGTATCTGTTCACCAGGATACAGGATGAAGTATAAGATGGTGCCTAGTTTACAAAAAGCAATGACTCAATAACTGAATTAAATCTTGCTCCTATTTGTGTCAAGCTGAAAATATCCCTACAAGTCCTCAGATTAAAAATACTCTTTTTAAACCTAAATGCTCTCTCTTTCAATGTGGTACAGTTGAGATTTCACTTACTTGGTATTGGTTAGACCACGTGAGTAAAAGAGAAGGGAAAATGAAATCCGTGTAAGTGAAACCCATGTGATAAGTGATTGCTGATAGTGGGGTTGGGCAAGGACTACAATATGTATAGCACAGCTGAGAAATATCTCAATGCAGATATTGGCTAGTGAAAGTGATGGATTAGAGTCCCAGAAATCATGGATGTCTCTTTGAGGCTAATGCCTCCACTGTAAGCTTTTATGAGAGAGTCTAAAGTGGTAAGTAGAGTCTTGGGTCAGTCTCTGAGTACCAAGTTGTGATGTAGACCTCATTCCAAGGAGGTCTAGGGATAGGGGGGGAGGGGTGTATTAGATTCTGCCTTTCCCAATTAAGGAAATGAGAAAAAAATACTATTGCTTTCATTTCTTGAGAGCTTAGACATGTATTCATCCTATTTCAACAGAATCACTGACACATACATCAACTACCCACAGAAGTCTGTGCCGCATGCAATGGCGGGATGGAATGCACAGCTCCTCAGTTTGTGGCTGTACCTCTAGCTCTCTCACAGACTTTCATGCAGTAGCAGGTCCTGGGGCCTGGTTATGTGATCTGGTAGCTGCTGGCCCCTTTTCCTAAACTAATGTTGAATTTTAGGACTCGTTTGTATTACTTTAAACACATCTATGGGAAAGAAGGTGCTTACATTACTTCTTCCTCTGAGCGCAAGATTTTAAATAGATCTCTCAAAGTTTACAGTATGCCCAAATTTTGATTTCTCTGGTATTAAATAATGGAACAAATACATTCAGTAGTATTCAATATACTTGATGGTTTCATACCCAGTAAGTAAAACCACAGATTAAAACCAAAATGCAAAACCAAAAATAGAAAGTTTAGTATATTTTGAGAATGTTCTCAAAGATGTTTAAATATAAGTGGCCAGCCAAAGGACAGAATTGTGTGGAGACAGAAGCTTACAGGTTATAGAATATATTGAAACTGTACAAGTGGCAAGAGATTATTTGAATTTCTCTTGTTTTAGTGCTTTCTAATATGTTCAGTCAAAGCCTCCTTTACTGTCATATTAAATTAGACTTCAAATAAGAACCAGAATAGCGAGATAGATAAAAACACAGAATAACTCCTTATACAATCAACTGTTATACATCGTATTACTTTCATAAAACCTTTTTTGTTAGTCCTTAACAGGACTTCTTGATGTCTCATTTACAAATAAGAAACATAAAGCATAATCAAGTTAAATAATTTACTTCATTTATATTCTATATTTTTATTAAAAAATAGAGACTGTGTTTCATTATTTTAAATCCTAGAGATATCTTCGTTGGAGTTCCAACTCATTCCTTAATTCACCAGGTAACCTCATTACATTACCCTGTATGGGCTTTATCTTCCTCCCTTGAAAAAGTAACTGGCAGATTATAGATCCTTTAATTAGGGCTAGTCATGGCAGGTATGGCACCCAGGACTTGGCTTACTTAAGGGCCCAATTTCCTTCTACTTTTCCATAAACTACTTTCATAAATGGTAATGAGAGGGAGACAAACACCTGTGAAAAGCATCAGCTAAAAGTCCTTCCCATTTAAAGATATTTTGTTTCTGGTCAAAATCCCAATTTGACTCTATCAGTTCCATCTATCAGTTCCATTAATGAAGAGAGCCCATGGATGTATCATCCCAATGAATTCATCATTTGTTCTGCTTTGACCAATGTCCTAAGTAGCAGAGATAACAAACAATCAGAATCACATCATCACTTCTCAAAGACAATCTCCAGAAGCTATTCATTTTACAGAGCTAAACAATGCAACAATCAAAAATACTCCTGTAATCCCCAAACAATACCAGAACACCCTGCTGTTTCAATTGAGCTCACCGTTTCCAATTGCAGTTATGTCTTTGCTTCTCTACTGATGATTTTATGTGAAAAACACCAACCTTGAAATCACTGAGTTACTTAGAATGAGATAGGATTTTGCAGAAGTGTACTTCAGTCTACATAAACTTTCTTCCTTTTATGCTATAATGGTATCAGGTAATACAAAAGTCATTGCCATGTAGGTTTTCTAGAGATTTTACACTAACAGAGCATCTTGGTTTCAAGGCTTACCTGGTGGGATGAGATAACCGACCACAGCACCTTGCAGAGCAAGCACCCACAGACTACTGCTGTTCTGGAACTGGCTCTCTGAATTCTTGTCCAGACTCTTAATCTCTATCCCCTACTGGTGACCCTAAGGGAATCTGCACAGGGTGGGGTGGGTGGGAAAAGCCGGCAGCAGATGGCACTAGCACCCTCCTGAGACTAGACAGGACAGCAAGAAAAAGGTACTTACTTGCGACCAAGTGACAGGTTTCCACCAACACCTCAGGAAACCCTGAGAAGCAGGGCTCCTTAGAGCCCTTTCCGCCTCTTGGGCTTCTCTTTCTTCGGGAGATCTCTCTCCTTTTCTGTGGTCTGGATGCTTAAGAGGTGTTGCTCGTTGGCGTTTGCCCTAACCAGCCGCTGGCACAGAGGCCACGATAGATCCGCAATAAGCAGGCCCACGGAGCTGACAATTAGGAACCGAGTCACTGGGGCAGCTCTCCAGCAGCTGACCCAGAGACCCCTCCAGCTCAGATGCTGAGTGGAGCCTCGCCCGCCGCTTGGAAGTTGTTTTTGTCTCCTTCCCACTTCTCCCTCCCCTCTCCTGGCCACGCCACTCTGCCCCCCGCCCTCATCTCCAGGCCAGTACACGACTTCAGCATCCAGCCCAGGCGTGGGCGGGGTGATAGAGACAGAGACCGGCTGGCGGTAGCCACAGCTGTTGTGTCTCCTCCACCGGCCGCCAGGGAAGGGAGGGGGCCAGAGGACCGGCGAACAGGGAAGGGCAGGAATGAGAGAGGACCTGGGGCGCGTGAAGGAAGAAGCGGCTAGAGAAAGGCGCAGAGGGAGGAGAGCGGGCTGCAACTAGTTGGGGGCGGGGAAGTGAAAGGGGCTGACGGACCGGAAGAGTTCTAGGCGGCAAACTCGGGTTCCTAATCCTCAGGTGCTTTCTGTCCTGCTTGCCAAGCAGCCCCAGAGCATGCAGGCGCACCCGGATCTGGATCTTGCTGCAGATGAGTGTGTGATGATGTTGTGTGGAGCGGTTTAGGAAAGAGGCTGAGGCTGTACCCTTCTTGTTCCAGATTTCTTTTCTGCTCTGCTTATTTTATTTTTTTTGGAAAGGTTTTTGCCATAGGGCGCAGTAGGCTCACCAGACAGACAGAGAGAGACAGAGAGACAGAAAGCGAGAAATCACCCCCCAGGGGGGATGGCCACGCTGCAATCCCTTCTCCTCCATTCTCCTCTCCTTTCGGGATCTTAGGCACGCACGCACACGCGCCCAGCGTGAGTTTAAGCCACCAGGTCCCAGACGCCAACCACAGTTGACTACGTGGGAGTCCAGCGACATAGCCATTACGCTAACTGCTGGTCCCCCGCTCTGCAAATTTGAAATATGAAAGACAAAAGGACATTTATGAATATTTTAGAAAGCAGTGGCACTACAGTATATTCTGGTGATGAAGGAAACAGATGTTGAACGTGTTCCCCAAAGGGAGTTTGAAAAGACTTGCCATTGCATCAAGTCCTGTCTTGTCAAACTTCATTTTATCCGATAAAACATCATTGTGCAAGATCTCTCAATGATAAGAACTTCTGAAAAATTTACTCCCATACCTTTATCACACCTAAAAAATAACATTAGCTATTTTGTAGTATCAAATATCCATTTAATTCCTTTCTAATAATCTATGAATTACCAGTTTCTCTTTCCCAGATATTGTGGTGACAGTTCAAGTGAAGTTTTTAGTGCCTAGAACTGGCCCTGGGAGCATTCCACCTTATGCATTCCTCCTCATCCAGGACATTTCTCCCTCTTACCACATAGTCAAACACAATGTGCAGTTAACCAACTCAATAATATCGAGCATTTTAAAGTTTTAATAAGATACTCAAAATAAAAAGAAATACCACTTTACCTAATGTGTAACAAATAGGCAGCTGCTCCCAGGATGTGCAAACCAGTAATATAAACAAGGGGCAAATAGGAAGGAATCAATGGTATTAGATTTATACTCCATGTTGGACAACCATTTGTTGCTGTGGTTGTAACAGAACAAATATCTTGCAACTGCTGTAGATAATATTATTAGTTTGAATTTGAAAAATGTTGGCACTTGTTACCCTCCCAATAATGAATTCAGGAGCCCCCCACTTCCACAGTAGTTCCTCAGTGGGGATATGTATATGGTAAGGAAACCTTTTTTTTCACATTCATTTCTCTTTTTTCAAAGAATTATTTTTTATTGTCATTATTTCTCAATTTTGACCTGAGTCAGACAAGGGGTGGGGGGAGAGACAGAGAGAGAACAAGTCGACAGGTTCTGGGGTTGAACTGCAGTAGGCCATGTGGGATTCTAGCACCCTTAACCCCATGCCACCTGCTGTCCCCTTCACACTCATTCCTTAATAACTTTATTATAATATGTTCTACACTGCTTCCTGAGTAAATATTCAGAATGTGGAAGCTCTAGAACCATTTATTCTGTTGTTGTGTTTTTTTTTGTTTGTTTTTTCTTTTTTTCTTGTTTTTTGCCATAGAGTGTATGTGCTTGCTGGAGAGAGTTAGAGAGAAACAGTGAAAGGGAAAGTGAGAAATCAGCTCTCAAGGGTTATGGTCATGACACAATCTCTTTTTCATTCTCCTCCTGAGATTTTGGGCACACACACATGCACACACACCTGGCATAATTTTTTTTTTTTTTTGGAGAGGCTTTTGCTATGGGGAGTGTGAGCTCGCCAGAAAGACAGAGAGAGACAGAGAGATAGAAAACGAGAAATCACCCCTCAGGGGGATGGTCATGCCGCAATCCCTTCTCCTCCATTCTCCTCTCGGGATCTTGGGCACGCGTGCACATGTGCCCGGTGTGAGTTTTAAGCCACCGGGTCCGGGACGCGAACCATGGTCAACTATGTGGGAGTCCAGCAACATAGCCATTACGCTAACTGCTGGTCCCCACCTGACATACTTTTCAAGCAACCAGGTCTAGGACTTGAACTGCAGTCAGTCATGTGGGAATCCAGTACGTTAACAACCACACCACCTGCTGGCCCCTTGTTCGCCTTGTTAAGAGAGACTTGCGGTACACACTGTAGTTGAACCAGATAAAACCCCAGGAAATTACTTCTCTTTCAGACTGTTTAAATGGGGCTGTTTGTTTTAACTTCAAAGGTGTTGGCATCTGGACTGTGGATGGGCCTGCTGTTTTTATTCTCAGTGTATATCACCACATCTAAGGTTGTAGAAACCTGTGTAAAAACAGATAAATAAAACAAACATGCAAACAAATAAAACAAACCACTCAAATACAAACAGCTCTTCTAAAACACAAATCACAACTAATCCTTTGAAGATATGTCCTTCAATTCTAGTAGTCATTTTTCTGACTTTATGGATACTCTTTTTATTAACAATTTATTTGGTGGCTCATAGTCTTTCTCTTCATCCAAACTCTTACCGTTATTTTTATTAACTTTCTCATCCATTTGGATGGCAGTAGACATTTGATTGAAACATCCAACCTTCCTAACATCTGATTTCATAGTTAATAAAACATCTTTTTCTCCACACCACCTCAGCTATTAATTCCCACACTCACACTTTGAATTTTGTCCTCCTAGTTAACAACTGCACTGTTTTCCTCCATAACACCTACCTGACATGCTAAATATCTATTGCTTATCTGTTTACTTTCTTTCTTATTCTACTCAAATACATGCTACAGGACACCTAGGACTTGTTTATTCCATACTGTATGATGGTGCTTGGAATCAAGGCTATAATGTCATAGGTACCCAGCAAATTTGTTAAAATGAGTACCAAGCATGACCTAATCTACTATGTGCTTCCTGGAAAAATGTGGTGATTCACCATAGAAATAGATCATAGTGCACATGTGATATGAAGGACATGGCTTATTTATCTACTTTCATTCTGCTAAATCTCTGATAGTTACATACCTTAATGTTTCTATAATATAGGTGTATAATTTTCTCCTAGCTGCACAATCTTGATACAAAGCACAGACCTGAGAAGAGATGGTAAAAATAATAAAGTTCAATCTTATCTATGACAGATTTCCAAGGAACTCCAAGAAATAAGACACTGAGCACTAAAAAGAAGCTATATTTTATAATGATCTTTCTAACAGGTATGAAATGGCATCCCATTGTTATATTATCAGAAAGATGAGTGATAAAATTGTGGTGAGGATGGGGAAGACAATGCATCCCTGTAAACTTTGGTAAGAATGTAAATTAGTAGAGACATTTTTGAAAATACTATGGAAGATCCTTAAAAAATTAAAAATAATAATACCATGTGTGCCAGCAATCTTACTTATGGGTACATATATCGAATAGAATTGAAATCAGTATACCAGAGATATTTGTGTTTCCATGTTTATTTCAACATTATTCACAATAGTCAAGCTATGGAAGAGACTAAAAATGTGAATGGAAAATATAGTATATATGCACAATGATATAGCATTTCTAAAAAGAAAAACTTGTCACTGGCAGCAAAATAGATCACACTGTCAAGCAATATACTAAGTGAAATGAGAAAGGCACAGAAAGATAAATGCTCTATGATCTCACTTATATATGGAATCTAAAAAGTTGACATCATAGAAACAGTAGTGGTTATCAGAGGCTTGAAAGTGGAAGGATGAGGAAAGGGAAGACATCAATCAGTAAGTACATAGTCTTCATTAGACTAAAGTAATAACTTTTAGTGATGTATTGTACTGCTTGGTGACCACACTTAATAATAATGTATTATCTATTTAAAAATGACTAAAAGAATACATTTTGAATGTTTCAGCACACATAAAAAAAACTTGGTGGTGCCAGTAGGTGGCATGGTGGTTAAGGTGCTGGATTCCCACATAGCCAACTGTGATGTAAGTCCTAGACCAGGTGGCTTGAAAAAAACACTGGGCACTCGGGTATACGTGCCCAAAATCCTGGGAGGAGAAGGGAGAAAAGATTGTGATATGGGCATCCCTCTTGGGAATGATTTCTCATTTTCCTTCTCTCTATATATTTCTCTCTCTTCTCTAGCAAGCACAAAACCCTATGACAAAATTCTAAAATAAATAAGTAAATAGCTGCCAGCAGATGGTATAGTAGTTTCCTCATTGGACTTCTACATAGTTGACTACAGTTCAAGTCCAGGACCTGGTGACTTGAAACTCATGCTGGGTTCATGTGGAGGCATGCCCAAGATCCCTGGAGAATAGAGGAGAAGGGATTGCAGTATGGCCATCTCCCCTGGGAGATGATTTCTCCCTTTTCCTCTCACTGTTTCTGTCTCTCCCTCCCTCTCTCTCTCTCTCTCTCTCTCTCTCCAGCCAATGCACAAGTCCTAAGGCAAAAACCTCTAAAATAAAAAAAAAAGAAAAGGAAAAAGAATAAACAAATAAATTGGTGAGATGAGATATGTTAATAAGCTTGCTCAACTCTTTTCTAAAATGTGTATATGCATAGAACAAAACATTACATCATAGCCCATAAATATAGACAATTATCCTTTGTCAATTAAAATAAATAAAATGCAAAAAAAATAAAGAAATGTTATTTCCTAAATATGTATTTTGGTGGAAGCTGTAGACCTGCTTCCTT